TATATATATATATATATATTATTTTTTTATGTCTCAGGCTGTGAAGAATGAAACCGGCGATTGTAGTGAGACAATGACCCGAAAGGAGTGGAATGTCAAAGAGTTCATTGGTAACAATGCTCAACTTCGACTGGTCGACCTCAGCTCTGACGGTTGGGCACACATCAATTTCGACGATCTGAGAGGAAACATAAGCTGCACAGTCTGAGAAAAAAAGATGACGGCCTAAACTGATCAGAGTATTATTAATGACCTTCTATTGGTCACCAGTTGTAGTTACTTGACATTGTTCGAGTCACGTTTCTCTCATGTGATCAACAAAGCAGTACTGGTAGTTTGTTTGTCCTGACTCTGTTCTCTCGTACATTTTTGCTGGTGCATATGATTTTGCTCACTTCTCTTTACAAGAGATTCAAGTCCCTCATGCAGCAGCACATGTATATCCAGGTTAAGTGATTCAAATTTAATTGTCATAATCTTGCTGTCACACTTCAAAATTTAGCAAAGATAAAGGTACATCATGTGGATCACTGCCGAGCAAATAAAGCCTAACACTGTCTACTCACTATAAGAAGATTCGTTATCAGTGAGAGGGTCTTAATGGAGTGTGGCTGTTACTGCTAATGGTAAAACGTTTGGCCACTTTACAGCTAACGGTTAATATCATACCAGTTGTTGTCACCAGAAACTTTTTGTTACGGTGAACTCTTTTTGGGAGTGTCGGTTGAAATTTGTCAATTTTGACACCTAATGGCTAAATTTTTCGACCTTCTTGCGGCTATCGGTGAACCCCATTGAGACCCTCGTGTAGCCGATTGTAAACAAACAAGAAACCTTCTGTAAGCCAAAATAATTTTCACCTACTAATAAGTTAGCATAGAAAGCTATGCAAGATGTATAATATTGACATGATGAAACTGCAAGGAGTATTTACATGTAAATCCCCTCTTGAAGTTGTAAGTGATAAATCTGGAAATGCCATCAAAGTTACTTTGCTATACTTAAATTGAAAAGATTTCACTGCTCTTTTATTGATGAGTGGACAACCTATTCTATTTATGCCGCCCTTACATAGCTCCTACAAATTTCCTTTCTTTTTTGCGATTGGAAAGCTGCCTTTAAATCGAAGAGGACTTTGAAATAGGAGGCAACAATGCTATTTGAAAAAAAACGGCAGAGACGGCTAAGATTGGATAATATAACAACAGATTGCAAATGACAAACTTCGGAGATCTCGCCTTATCCTCTCTAAAAAGAACGCGCAGTGTTCATGAACGAAGTCGGGCTGACTCCGTTATAGGGCCAGACACAAAAATCCTATGTTTTTTTTTATTCATTTCTAGAGTCAATCGGGATTTTGAAAAAAATCGAGGAAGTTCAGAAAACTTAAGTATTTTTAGACGATAATTTTGAAAAAAAAGCTGATAGCATAAAAAATTTTTACTTGGTCCTTCTTCCAGTTTCCGAGCGGGCTCCATAAAAATGTCAAACTCTGCCAACCTGTCGTTATCGTTTGTTTGAAAGAGACTGATAAATGTAAGAATACGAAGCTGACGAACCACTGTTATTTTTTAGTAAATAATTGATAATTTTAAACCTGATTGAAGGAGCTTCCACACAATTTCACAGGAATCTCGCATTTTACGCAAATGAAGTGTTAATTTCTAACCATAATTAAGTCAAGTCGGGATTTTTAAAGACAATTTCGAGATTTAAAGAGACAAAAGTGAGATTTATCGACATTCTTTGGAGAATTTCCAGATAATTTTAAGCCATTTTTCGGGATTTTTGTATCTAGGCCTACTCTGTCGCAAATAAAGTATGCACACCATGCAAGTGGTCCCACCAGCTGAGCTTATTGCCGGGGTGCCACTCCATCCGAAGTAACCCAAGTCCCCCCAACAGTATTTTTCGGTAAAGAGGAATGAAATTTCCCCTGTGAACACTACAGCTCGTTTAAAGGATTTTCTTGTGTGAAGAGTAACTGGGCAGAACCTTCCCTTAAGAGCAAATGACGATGATCGACCTGCACCCGAGCCTCGGTTTAGGCAGAACTTGGTGTAAGGCTTGTACGAAAAGCTCCTGGTAAGAAATAATCCCAATGTTCATATATCTGCGTCGTAAAGTTTTCGTATTCCTCTAAATATGTACTGTACCTTTCATTTGGTTTGGCGTGCAACCATGGCCGATCAAGTACGATTTACCTTGTTTGCAGCGAGTTATTGCCCTGAAGATTCCTACGTATCATGCACATCTCTGCAAGATCCATGGCTTCTAAGCATTTCTCAGCACAACATCCAGATTTTGTTGCCTTAAATATACAGAAACCCACAGAATTGATGAATATCTCGGAACTTATGAGTCGATATTAGCCTAAATCTCAGACGGTCTGAATCCACTTGCTCAAATATCCGTCAAAATTACGAGGGAGCCTTGGATCGTCAGAGAACTAGGCTAAATAATCGCCTTCGTGCCTTAATTTTGCAGTAAATGACTGTCGATCGTAAACAACAAAACAGCGAACGGCGGAAACAAATCACCCAAGCAACCTCTTTTCCTCTCTCTACCAAAAACGAGCAAAACGTTTACTCTTCCCCACTTCTTCTACTCTATATGGCATAGCCAGCAACGAAATAATATCGATTGATTGTTTTTTTTTAAGTCGTTACGCTGTTGGCTGTTTTGGTGTTTACGTCCACTCTGTAATGGGTATTTCGAACCCAGTCTCTCTAATAAACGACACCAAGGAATGCGTTACGATATGTCATTGCGGGAGTTCGTGATACTTCCTTATCTAATTACCACAATTATCGCTTTGGTTCTAAGAGCCTTTCCTTCTTTCAAAGAAGCAGCATAACACTTCTCGCGATCGCAACCTCCAGGTTTTTTCACTTTGCGAACTTTTCCTACGACAGTTACGTGTCTCTTTGTTTACTAGGTTAGAAATGTCAACTTATCCTTTTTTACGTATGATGCACGATCCTTCGCAGTAGATAGCACTATCTATGCAATAGCGAAAATCAGACCTGAAAAAAATCAGGCCTGTACGGGATTCGAACCACTGACCTCTGCGATACCAGTGCAGCGCTCTACCAATTGAGCTAACAAGCCAACTGGGATTTTCGCTATTGTATAAATAGTGCTCTCTACTGCAAGGATTGTGCATCGTACGTATCTAATACCGCAGTTCAAAATATATGAACTTCATATATTTCATTGTATCT